GAGAGTCTGGTGAGACAGGAGACGACACGAGCAGGGGGCAGACTCAGGACCAGACCTGGACGCTGCAGCAAACACCTGACCCGACGCAGCTACCTGGCCAGCCGCAGGAACCGGAGGAGACTCGGTAGTCAGTGTGTACAGGCTCGACCCCGGCTGACGGATAAACGTGGCCAAGTGTCGGCCCGTCCGAGCACACGTGCAGTGGGTCACTCGCTGACTCGCAGGAGTGAACTGGTCAACCCCCCCATCCTGTAGGTCAGCACCACTCACCAAGTTCGTGGAGAACGAGGGGAGGTAAAGACCTGACAGGGAGCCAGAAGGGGCCGCCGGACACGGTAGGACAGTGGAGTAGTGGGCAAGGACAAGACCCCCTGAGGGGTCTGCCAGGGAGACTGCAACCGGCCGACTAAGCGGCGTGAGTGTGGTGCGGTCTCGAAAGAAGGAGCGGGAGGCCCCTGAGTCAAGAGTGAAGGTGTGTAAGACCGCAGCAGGCGTGGCACCAAAGAGAGCAGCCGCACCAGCACCTGGAGCAGGAGACTCACCAGCGCCTAGAGCAGTAGCCTCACCGACACCGGGAGCAGGAGACGCACGAGCACCTAGAGCAGCAGCCTCACCAGTACCTAGAGCAGCAGACTGGATACCGGGGTCAGGCGGCACACACAGGTAACAGGCACGCGCAGCACTAGTAGGCAATGCATACATGGCAGTGAGGATAGCATCATAGTCAAGAGCATAGATATCTACCCTCTGCCCAAGCAGCTCCACCCAGGCGGGGAGCTCAGCCGCGTCGCCAAACTCTGTACGCCAGGCGTCGCTCAGACGAGCGAAGCAGCGGGACTCTGTGTGACCAAACGTCCTGCAAGGCTGACCAGTCCTAGCACCAGTGCGAATGACGTACGGGCAGCGAGCAGTACTCCGTGACCCTCCACGCTGAGCGTACCACTCACGAAGCTGCTGGGGCGAAAGGACCGCGCGCGGACGACACTGCAGCTGCACCTGGCCACTACAAGAAGCTCCCGAACTTCTCACTCCAGGACAACTCCCACTACGGCCACCCCGACAACCCCAACTAGCGTACCACTCACGAAGTTGCTGGGGCGTGAGGGACTCACGCGGACGTCGCTGGAGCTGCATCTGGCCACGGCCAGGAGCAGCAGTAGCAGTAGTAGCCGCAGTAGCAGCAGTAGCAGCAGTAGTAGCAGTAGCAGTAGTAGCCGCAGTAGTAGCAGTAGCAGCAGTAGCAACAGTAGCAGTAGTAGCAGCGCGGCCACCCCTACAACCCCAACTAGTGTACCACTCACGAAGCTGTTGGGGCGTGAGGGACTCACGCGGACGGCGCTGGAGCTGCATCTGGCCACGCCAGGAGCAGCAGTAGCAGTAGAAAGAGCAGTGGCAGCAAGAGCAGCAGTAACAGCAGTACGGGCAGGGCAGTGCTCACCAGTGGCGAGAAGGGCAGGCGTACGACGGCGGCAACGGCGAGGCCGCTACCACTGCAGGGCGAGGGCTCCGCGGCAGCTGCAGGGGCGGATGCTCCAGGGGCAGCTGCTCCAGGGGCCAGGGGCGGCTGCTGCAGGGGCGGCTGCTCCAGGGGCCAGGGGCGGCTGCTGAAGGGGCGGCTGCTCCAGGGGCCAGGGGCGGCTGCTGCAGGGGCGGCTGCTCCAGGGGCCAGGGGCGGCTGCCCCAGGGGCGGCTGCTCCAGGGGCCAGGGGCGGCTGCCCCAGGGGCGGCTGCTCCAGGGGCCAGGGGCGGCTGCCCCAGGGGCGGCTGCTCCAGGGGCCAGGGGCGGCTGCCCCAGGGGCCAGGGGCGGCTGCTGCAGGGGTGGCTGCTCCAGGGGCCAGGGGCGGCTGCTCCAGTGGCCAGGGGCGGCTGCTGCAGGGGCGGCTGCTCCAAGGGTCAGGGGCGGCTGCTGCAGGGGGGGGGGCAGGGGCGGCCGTCCGAAGGTCGGGCGCGGGTTAGGGCAGGGCGCCGCGGCGGGCAGGGGCGACGCCGCGCGGGTCCCGCAGGGGCGTCGCGACGAGCGGGTGCGACGCCCGGGTCCCGTTGGGGGCGTCGCGACGCGCAGGAGCCGCGCCTCGCGGGTCCCGCAGGGGCGTCGCGACGAGGCGGGGGCGACGCGCGGGTCCCGCTGAGGCGTCGCGACGAGGCAGGGGCGACACCCGGGTGGCGACGGGGCGGGGCCGCGACTGGCGACGGGGCGGGGTCGCTACGGGCAGTGGGGCGGGGCCGCGAAGGGGCCGCGAAGGGGGCCGCTAAGGGGCCGCGAAGGGCCGCGAAGGGGCCGCGAAGGGGCCGCTAGGGGGCCGCGAAGGGGCCGCGAAGGGGCCGCGAAGGGGCCGCGAAGGGGCCGCTAAGGGGCTGCGAAGGGGCCGCGAAGGGGCCGCTAAGGGGCCGCGAAGGGGGGCCGCTAAGGGGCCACGAAGGGGCCGCTAAGGGGCCGTGAAGGGGCCGCGAAGGGGCCGCAAAGGGGGGGCCGCGACGGGCCTCAGGAGCAGGGCAGGCCGCTAAGGGGCCGCGAAAGGGTAGGGCAGGTCAGAGCGCGAAGCGCGCTTCGGGCAGGTTAGGGGAAAAAAAGTTTTAATGGTGGGCCCTTAGGAAGAAACGGTCCCACTAGGGAACCCGCTCTATACCATGTGAAGAAAGAGGAATGAATGACTAAGGAAAGAGGTGGGTACAAGTAGGAAACCTAGAAGTGTTGTACCCTATAGTGTCTACCCCACTACAGCCTAGATAGACTATAGCATATGAGTTTGACACTTATCAGACCACCTCCTATCATTCTATGATATGAGGTTTGCCTGATACAAGGTGTAGGACCACGCCTAAAAAAAAAAAATGGCGTTATATGAGGGTAAGAGGACGCCATAATGTAATGGGGGAGGGGATAGCAAGCAGAAATCTGAGAGGCGGTACGGTATAAGGTGTATTTTGTTTTTGGCTTGCACATAATATAGAATCGTCTGTTGCTGATTGAATAAATTAACTTGTCTTGGATAGAATGGTATTCAGATTTAGTGTAATCGTGGTGCATTTGATTTTTTGCCACGATCTTCGACCTCCGCAGCGCCAGAGAAATGGCGGGCCAATAATAAAGGGGAATGGCATTCTTCCTCTTCCTGACACAGCACTGACACGAAATGGCAGTAGCCTGTCATCCCGAGTTGGGATTTCCAGCACAGCCTGAACGGTTTGAGGTGAGGGGTGACCGAGTTTCAAGATAGCAAAGTTTCTTGCTTGATCTCCTCTTTACCCGAGCTTGTGAAAGCACTTGCCAGCGGAACAAATCTAAAGGTGTTAGCTGGTAAATTGCATGTTCGCCGCAGTGAATAGGAGTTGGCGCAGCTCGTCGAGTTTTTTTTCTTAGGTCTGCGCGCAAATTACTTCACATCAGCGGTACAGCAATAATTCCTGCCTTCATCAAAGTGATAGCTTTCTATGAAGCACGATCATGTCACCACTAACGGCTTCGATATAAAGATACTGCTTGTTACATCCCTTCAGCTATGGACGATCAGTGGGTCTAGTTATCCGCTACGTAGTAGGCTAAGTGAAGATAGAGGACCTACAGGTCCCGAAGATAAGCACATATCTTTTCGAACTGTGTATTGCCTAAGCGTTAGTTTCCTTGCGAATCCCGATGAGGTCAAAGAAAAACCTAGCGCGTGGCAAAGCCGCTCTTAGCCAGTCGGCGAGGAAACAAAAGCAGGAGCGGGGATCTGACGGTGCAGAATCAGCGGAATTGCGTGTGAACGGAGCTTCGAACGAATCTGCGGCGTCCGATGGGGATCAGGTTCAATGCACGGTGACGGTAGGAGAGTCGATTCAACCTGAGCCGTCTCGGAAACAATCTGAGCCGTCGGATGGAAAGCACGTTACGCCTAGGAGGTCCCAGAGATTGTCTGCGAAGACAGGCGGTGTGAGTGAGAGAGGGGGGACAGCGAGAGGAAGTGAGAAAGAGGGAACAAGGAGGGCGAAGGAGGGAGAGGCTTTAGGGAGATCGAAGCAGCGAAACGCGAAGAAGGATAAGGAGGAGCGGAGTGGGAAGTATCGGGTCAGTCAAAGGGGAGAAAAGAGAGATGAGGAGGAGGATGGGGAAGAGACGGAGGAGGAGGAATTGGAGTGTAGAAGGGATGATGCTGATGATGCTGATGATGCTGAAGCTGACGATGATGTTCAGGAGGTGGTGTCAGGGGGAGGGGCTACTTGCGAGGTGGAGGACCAGGGTGTTGAAGAGAGGAGGATGCTAAGGGAAGGAGCGGACGAGGAAGAGGGAGAGGCGGAGGAAGGGGAGGAGAGAGGGGAGGAGGAGGGAGCGGATGTGGAAGAGGAAGGGGAGGCGAAGATGGGGGAGGCGAAGATGGGGGAGGAGAGAAAGGAGCGGGGGGAGAAGGAGGGAGAGGAGGTCGAGGAAGTGGGGGGAGATGGCGAAGGAACATCTACGAGAAAAGAGACAGATACAGCGTGTAAGGCAGGAGATGCACCCTACAGGAAACCAGACGGGCGTTTTGCACCAAGGCGAAGGGAGGGCCATGCTGCGAACGGACAGAACGTGCTGCTGGGGGAGTGTGTGTCGGAGAGAGGGAATGCGAGGCAGGGAGATAAGGCGGGACAGAGGGATGCTGCTGGGCTTACGAGGGATGGCCTTGTGCAAGTAAAGGATGTGCTTGTAGGGAAGAATGCTACCACAGGGGTTGGAAATGTGGCAGCAGGGGGTGCGGCAGCAGAGGTTGCGGCGGCAGAGGTTGCGGCGGCAGGGGGTGCGAATGCGGCAGCAGGGAGGACGAGGGTGACAGGAGCGGTGTTTGGGAGAGGGGCGTTCGAATCCACGTGGGGGAGGATGCAGCAACGCATGGATGTAAGCATGGGGCATGGATGCAAGAAGTGTATGGGACGCGAATATGTTATGGATAAGAACAAAAGAACCGCATGCAACCCAATGGAACCTCATACAACCCTATGCAACCGCATGCAACTCCATGTGAACCCACGCCACCACATGCAGGCAGTGGTATGGGAGCATGAGAGCCGGGTGATTTTTCAGCTTCAGCAGTGGGTCAAGACATCCACCGCTCTGCACCGCTGTAAGCACCTCTATTGTAAGCACTTTCCTGTAATCACCTTGCTATAAACATTTTCGCTATATGCATATTCGGATGTTTGACAGCCTAGCGTGGGACTCCTCATACAGCAGCCTGCTTGGCTGATGAGCCCACATAACTCTTGATTCATTCGGATCAGTGTATGTATGTATGAAGTCATGATTAAGTAATGTATGAAGCAACCACCTTGCCTGCTCCCCAACACCTTTCTCCAGACAACGCAGGGCAAGAGGACGAGTCAACATCTTGCGAGATAAGCCCTGTCCAGATAACGCCTGCTGGGGCGGGTACGACCTGCAAGCTGCCGACCAGCGTTGTGGTAACCGGCTCGCTTGACTGCACCGACAGCGCCTCCTTCTGCTCCGCGCTTCAGTCCTCCCTGCAGCGAATGGGCTGCTGCCACGTGGCGCTTCTGGAGCCACATAGCTTCGGCGGGGGAGGGCAGGCAGGGAGTCAAGCTGTGTTGAGCGTGCTGCAGCAGCTGACGGGGAAGGCTGGGAAGGTGAGGCAGAGACGGAAGAGGGCGGAAGGGTTTTTTGAGCTGGCTACAAAAAGCAGGCTGGCAGCCAGGCTGTGTTGAGCGTGCAGTGGCAGCTGACAGGGAAGGCTGGGAAGGTGAGACAGAGACGGATAGGGGGGTGAGAGGGTGAATGGGTGGATGCTGGAAGAGGCTGGGGAGGAGGAGAGGGAGAAAGAGCGGAAGTTGAGGGCAGGGGTGAGAAGAGTGGAAAGTGGGGAGTAGGCGTGGGACAGGCTTGTGATCTTAATGCCCCACAATAGGAAACCTGCCCAACCAGCCTGTCATCTTAAAGCCTGCCTTCCTGTGCACATCTTGAGCGACTCCTTCCCCATGCTGCCCGTGTGCCCCAGGTCCCTGACATGGCTGCCCTCTCCGCATGGCACCAGGCTCACACCAGTGCTGGCAGCGTGGGGAACGCTGCTGGCAGCGCTGCTGGCAACGTACTGCTAGCCCTCTGACTCCAAGAGACAGACTTGCTTTCTTTCCCCATGCTGCCCGTGTGCCCCAGGTCCCTGACATGGCTGCCCTCTCCGCATGGCACCAGGCTCACACCAGTGCTGGCAGCGGGGGTAGCGTAGCTGGCTGCAGTGGTGATGTGTGCTCCATAGCTGTGGTGGTGGCGGACGCGCCTGCATGCAGCAGCAGTGCCCTGCATGCCTTGATCGGTGTCCTCAGGTCAGGGCTGCTCCTCCTTTGTTAAAGTAGACTCAAATGGGAGGGACGGTGGTGATGGTGTGGGCTCAATCGCTGTTGTGGTGGCGGACTCACCTGCGTGCAGCAGCAGTACGCTGCATGCCCTCATCACTGTCCTCAGCTCTTGAGTCGACTCAAAAGCGCTGCATGCCCTCATCACTGTCCTCAGCTCTTGAGTCGACTCAAAAGCGCTGCATGCCCTCATCACTGTCCTCAGCTCTTGAGTCGACTCAAAAGCGCTGCATGCCCTCATCACTGTCCTCAGCTCTTGAGTCGACTCAAAAGCGCTGCATGCCCTCATCACTGTCCTCAGCTCTTGAGTCGACTCAAAAGCGCTGCATGCCCTCATCACTGTCCTCAGGACTGTGCTCTTTCCCTCCCTCCCACTCTGCTTCCTTTTCTCTTCCTTCAGCCGTCCTCCCTCTCTCCCCCTTCCCCCATCCTTCCCCCTCCACCTGTCCTCAGACGCACTTTTCTTACTTTAGAAAAGTTCTCCAAAGACTTTCCAACATCTTTTACCAGAAACACCCTTCCCCAAACACACCTTCCCCCACATACACCTCCCCACAGAAACACCCCTCCCACTGCCCCCCCTTAACCTTCCCCCACCCTCAGCGAGTGGCGCAGCACCCTCCCTTTTGTCCTCATCCTCACTGGCGTCCACTCCTTGCCGTCCATCCCCCGCCTCCTGCCGCCCAGCACCCTCCCCCACCTCCACCTCTCCACCTTCCGCCTGCCCTCTCCGCGCCTCCTCCTCGACCCCCTCCTCCTCTCCGCCCTTCTACAGCCCTTGTCCTCCCCTCCCTCACAATCACCACCAATCCCTGCAGCAGCAGCAGCAGCCGCAGCAGGAGTGGGAATAGGAGGAGCAGGAGCAGGAGCAGGAGCAGGAAGAGGAGCAGGGACAGGAGCAGCAGCAGCGGTGACAGTGCCAGTAGTTCTCTCGCACTCAGCCTGGGCAGCACTGTGGGAGTCGTTTGAGCTGCACGATGGGTCCATGCAGGGGCTCAAGCGCTGCCTCAAGGTGAGCTGAAGCCTGAAAGGGGGATGGGTGTGCGCTCCTCCAGGTCCTTGCTCACCACCACTCCGTCCGCACACCCTTGCTCACCAAAGTGGGTTCATCTGACCCTCTTCATGTCTCACCCTCTCATCCCCCCTCCCTCTCCCCTTACCACCCGCTCATCCTCTCCCTCTCCTCCCCTCTTTCCCTCTCTCCTCCCTCCAGACCCTCCTCCAATGTGGATTTTTCTTTTGAGAATTCTCAAAAGTAAAATCCTCTTTCCTCCCTCCAGACCCTCCGCCACCGCTATTTCTTCGGCACGCCGTCTCTCGCCACAGTGGGTGCGTCTGAACCTCCTGTCTCGCCTTGTCATCCCGCCTCCCTCTCCCTCTCTCCCTCTCTGTGCCTCTCGTCTCCCTGCAGACCCTCCTTCACAACCACTTCTTCAGCGCACCCTCGCTCGCCACACTGGGTGCATCTGACCCTCCTCCCGGGTCTGCCCTCCACAGCACCGCTGCAGTGCCACCTGCATCAGCTGCACCTGCCTCTGCTGCACCTCCCCCAGTCGCGCCTCCCCTGCTGAGCCAATGGGCGTCCGCTGTTCAGGTAACTGTCTCACACCGCTGGCCTAACCCCGTGCATGTGACCTGCCTGAGTCATACTGCTCCCTGTGTTCCTTTGTTTGTGTCTTCCCACCACTGTCTCTCGTCTCTCCTCCCTCCATTGTTTGGTTTTCCTCCTTCAATTCAAACCCCTTCTCAGGCGCTCTACCTGCTCCTCCTCCGCCTGCACCTCCTCCTTCCCCACTCCGCACACCTCCTCGCCTTCCTCCTCGCCTCCTCCCACCCCTCTCTCACTCCCCCACACACTCCCTCACCAGAATCCCTCCTCCGCCTCCTCTCCTCCCTCACCCCTCTCCCTCCCATCTCCCTCACACCATCAATCTCCTCGCCCATTCCTCCGAAACGATACAACCCCGCAACAAATGCGGGTTCGCCCATCAGCCCTGCACCAGGAGCAGAACAAGGGAGCTGGAGTTCTCCCATCTCCCCAGCGCCTACAGCAATTCAGATTGCCCTCAGATCAGGGTCGTATGGGAGCCATGCGCCTCCTGCTGCTGCTGTTGCTGCGGCCGCTGCGGCTGCTGGTGCTGCTGTGCCAACTGTGGGCCAGGTGTTGAGTCACACGGAGTGCTTGCAGCGCGTGGTGCAGGGGACAAATGCACTGGCGAGGTAAGTGCGGGGTGTGTGCGTGCTGGGCCCTCACAGCCTTTGGAACCCTACACCTGCTGCTGTTGCTCAAGTGCTGAGTCACACGGAGTGCTTGCAGTGCGTGGTGCAGGCGACAAATGCACTGGCGAGGTCAGTGCAGGCAGGGCGTCAACCTGTTGCTGGGGAGCTGGGCATGGGTAGGGGATTCTGTAAAGATTGTCTGCTTTCTGTAGGATCGTGGCGTGCTTCGCTTGACAGGTGCACAGATGATTCTACTAAAGTTAAAGCCCTCCAAAGTGATGCTACGGAAGGTGCTGTGTTGCTGGGAGGGTATCGACTCGCAGCTAGAGGCGTCGCTATGGTAACAATCTGCCTCTTTGGCAGACCACAGTCTGCCTCGCCTACAGCTGCTCGTTCTGCACTCTTTCAACTCGTGCACCCTCCCTTCCTTCATGCTTCACACGCCCTGCTTTTCTCCCTGTCTCACACACTTTCCTCTCCTCCCTGTCTCACACACTTTCCTCTCCTCCCTGTCTCACACACTTTCCTCTCCTCCCTGTCTCACACACTTTCCTCTCCTCCCTGTCTCACACACTTTCTTCTCCTCCTGTCTCACACACTTTCCTCTCCTCCCTGTCTCACACACTTTCCTCTCCTCCCTGTCTCACACACTTTCCTCTCCTCCCTGTCTCACACACTTTCCTCTCCTCCCTGTCTCACACACTTTCCTCTCCTCCCTGTCTCACACACTTTCCTCTCCTCCCTGTCTCACACACTTTCCTCTCCTCCCTGTCTCACACACTTTCTTCTCCTCCTGTCTCACACACTTTCCTCTCCTCCCTGTCTCACACACTTTCCTCTCCTCCCTGTCTCACACACTTTCCTCTCCTCCCTGTCTCACACACTTTCCTCTCCTCCCTGTCTCACACACTTTCCTCTCCTCCCTGTCTCACACACTTTCCTCTCCTCCCTGTCTCACACACTTTCCTCTCCTCCCTGTCTCACACACTTTCCTCTCCTCCCTGTCTCACACACTTTCCTCTCCTCCCTGCGCCTGCCAGGCAAGAGTTGGAAGAGGTGGAGAGGAGGCACACGGGGAAGGAGAGAAGCAACGGGCATCCAGAAAAGCTGCGCAAAATGACAGGAGAGGCAGGGAATGCAGGGGAGGAAGGGGAGGTAGCTGAGGCAGGCAGGACAGGAGAGATAGCTAAGGCAAGAGAGGAAGGAGGGGATGGTGATGTGGAGGAGGTTGCAAGCGGGCGAGAGACCGCAGGGAGGGGAGAAGGAAAGGAAGGAGTGAAGGGGGAGGGAGAGCAGGGCGAGGCGAGGGGAGGGGGTGGAGAGTGGGCGTGGGAGGCGGGAGGCGAGGCCAGAGCAGAGAGGATGCTGGGGTGGCTGGAGCTTGCGTGTGCCAAACTGCCTGAGGTGAGTCCGTCCATGGGGTGAGTTTCTCAGGAATGAGTTTAGTGAGTTGGGTTCATGTGGCACGAGCAGTGAGTGTGCTGGGCTGGCTGGAGCTTGCCTGTGCCAAACTGCCTGAGGTAGACCTTGCCCTTTTTGTCGATGTTTTTCTTCTAACTTTGGTGTTGTGGTTTCTGTGTATCAAGGCAGCTGTTGCAACCATTATTGCCTCAACCATGCATCCATCCGTCCATCTGTCCACCCATCCGTCCTCTATGCCAATTCTTGTTCCTGTCCCTCTTTTGGTCCCGCACAGCCCCTCCGCCTGGTTCAGCAGATTCAAGCCTCTGTGGAAGCAGCCGTACGCCGAACCAAAGCAGAAAGAGCAGCAGCAGCGGCAGCAGCAGCAGCAGCAGGAAAGCGGAAAGGAGGAGATTTGAGGGACGAGAATGAGACGGAGAGTCGGAATGGCGTGGACGGTACCAAGCTCAGATCCGGCAATTCGGCTAAGGGAGGGTTAGCTGGGGGAGGGTCAACAGGAGGAGCTGCGGTGAAAGGAGCAGATGTTTTGGGTGGGAAAGGCATGAAAGGAGGGGTGGCAGGTGCGGATGCTGCGAGTATGGCACAGAGGGGTTCGAGTGCTGCGATGAGGAGAAGGTGGGTGGAGAGGGATGAAGTGCGGTATGGTAGGTGTTGCGAGTGTGCAAGGCAGGTGTGACAGTGTGGCGTGGCTAGGGTGTAAGGCAGTGACTGCACAGAAGCCACGCCTTTGCAGCTTGCATGGCCCTCCTCTGTGCTTCCCGACCCACTTCAACCCCCCCACAACTTAACCCAACCCACTCCAACCCAACCAAACCTATTCCAACCCAACACCACCCACTCCGTCGCAGGGCCGTGCTGCTCCAATCAGCGGCGGCACCACCGGCATCAGTAGCGTCAGACCGTCCCGCTGCACCCCGTCCTTCCCTGCAGCATGCAGCAGCCCGTGCTGCTGCCCCCCCGAGGTCGCTGTGTGACCAGCTGCTGCCACACGTGGCAGGGAAGCTGCAAGCCCTGCTGGCGTGTCTCGTGCGGTAAGAGTTGGCGTTTACGTTGTACGAAAAAACCACAATGAGAATCCATATACGGTACATTTTTTTTTTTTACCCATCCGAAAAGCTAGGTGCCATTTGCGCTAAGTGCGTAAATCTGGTCCTCTTTCCTATCCCTCTCACGGACCCCTCCCCCGCCAGCCTCTGTGCAGCAGACTGGTCCTCCCACCCACACCTGCAGCCGTTCATCGCTGAAGCCCCTGCCGTATTCTTTCTTTCCCTCCCTCTCCCCTCCTCACTCCCCTATCTTTCCCCCGCTCTCGCTGACCCCTCCCCCGCCAGCCTCTGTGCAGCAGACTGGTCCTCCCACCCGCACCTACAGCCGTTCATAGTCAAAGCCCCTGCATCCCTCGCAGCCTACCCTGCTGGGGCCGCTGTGCTCTCCTCCCTCCGCTCTGACCTCTCCTTGCAACAGCAGCAGCAGCACGAGGAGGAGGAGGAGGAACAGCAACAGCAACAGCAACAGCAACAGCAACAGCAGCAGCAGCAGCAGCGCGGAGTTCAAATGCAATTGATGGAAGCGCGAACAGCTCTGGATATCATCAGCTTCACTAAACGGCCATCTCAGAAGGATCTTATGCCGCCGCCCCTTGAGTCATCTCAGAGGCCGCTTCTCAAGGCCCCTCACAAGGCCCCTCAAAAGCATATCGTGCCAGCGCCCTCACGCAAAGATCACACTTTGGGGGTGACTGAAAAGTCGTCTCAAGGAGGTGTGATACCCGCAGCGTCGACAGCGCATGACACGGGTCGCCTGTACTCCCTTGTGTGCACCATGCCTGGTGCTTCTGCTGACTCCCGCGACCTCCTCTCTGCCTTCGCTGCTGCCACTCGTGCTGCCTGCGCCCCCGCTGCTGCTTCTGTGGCTGCACCTAGTGCGGCTGAATGTGCTGCTGCAGATGAGGCTGCTGGTGCTGCTGCTACTGGGGTTGCTGAAGCTGGTCTTGCTGGTGGAAAGAGGGGCCGGGGGCGTGGGAGGAAGGGGAGGACGGCACATGGGAGAGAGGCGGTGAAGGGTGGTGAGAAGCAGGGAGGGAGGAGGGGAAGGAAGAGGAAGAATGGTGGTGCCGAGGAGGAGGAACAGGAGATGGGGCACGATGGCAGTGCCAACACTGCCGCTATCTCAGACGACCACATCCAGTTGCGTCCATGATTGCTCATTCCCATGCGTCCATGATTGCTCATTCCCATGCGTCCATGATTGCTCATTTCCCATGCGTCCATGATTGATCAGCCCATGCATCCAAGAATGCCATGCCGTGCACTCGTGCTCATACTATCCATGCCATTCCCCTCGTGTCCGTACCGTGCCGTGCCATGCCATTCCCCTTGTGTTGCTTGCACCATCCTTCCACCATCATCCCTTGAGTGCATCATCCCTTGGCATCCCACATTGGTCACTTTCTCCCACGTTCCCACTTCAGCCTCCGTGTACCATTAATCTCCTGCCCTCCCACCCCCCACAGGGCCCAGTTCCTGGCAGCAGCATCAGAGCTGCAGGTGCTGGGGGTGCTGCACCCCATAAATGTGTCCCCGTGCCCTGTGCTCGGTTCCCGTATGTTTCCAGCCATGGAACTCAATATGCCATGTCCCCCCCTGCCCTCCCACCCCTCACAGGGCTCGGTTCCTGGCAGCAGTGTCAGAGCTGCAGGTGCTGGGGGTGCTGCACCCTTCCTCCCGCCGCCGCACTCGCTCCATGCACCGTGCCCTGCTGCCGTGACTCCAGTGTGGCCATGGTGTGAGTGCCTGCTGGCTTGCTGCCTGCTCTGAGCTCTTCACAAAGACGAGTCTATACAAATAGTATACTTCCCGTAACAGCACTACCTGTGAAGAGTGCTAATTCGTTCATATTTTTGCAGGCGGAAAGTGCCTGATTGGCTCTCAACTCAACAACAGTTGGCCATAGCAGTATACGTTCACCGTGACATTCCAACAACTGCAGGCGGTACAAAATCGGCGTGAAGAAACACCAGCATGCACGGACCCGAGTTTCAACTAGAAATACATGTTGATGCACAGGCCTGAGTGTATCTCAACCCCCCCAGCTTTTTATCATAGTGGTGAAGCGCTGGAAGGAGTTGGCTCAGGCTGACAGATTCTGCCGCAGTCAGCCAGCACTCCTTCATAGCAGGACCATAGATGACAGAGGTCACAGTGGCAGCCTGGCCGGGTGGTCTCCCCTCGTTGCAGAAAGAACATCAATTCGCTGCAGCTCACAGCATCAAGGAGGTGAAGTGATGACACAGCTGCTGCTGCTGCTGCGGCTGCTGCTGAAGCTGTGAAGGCTGTTGGCCGTACTGAAACGTCTGCCAGAGAAAAGGAATGCCTGGAAACCGGAAGAGATGGAGTAGCCACACCTCCGGTCTGCCACGGCAGCAGGTGACGGATTCTGACAGACGTTGACTGCCCCTTGCATAACGGATAACGTTGTGAGGTGAGGTGTCGAGAGGCTTTCAGAAAAGCCCCGACTGACACGCTCGCACCTGCCGCACGCTCCCCCTTGCCCCCGCTGGCCTGTGCCCGCTTGACTGCGTCTGCAACAGGAGAGGGAGAGAGAGCTCAGATGACGCCGTTGCACATTGAGATGCAGGCTCAGGCTGCCACTGGCCCACTGGGAACATGAGAGCGGGGTGGAGCTACCCAGTGCCAGTGGCAGCACACCTGCATCTCACCCTCGGCCCAGTGCAATCCTGGAAACACTTGAGGTGGGTGCGCGCCCGTCTCTGTCTGCGCGTGCAGCTTGCCTCTCCCATCCCACACTCAGTATCCAGAGCTGCTGCCTGTGAGTACCGCCCATTCCAGGTGCTGAACCCATGTGTGAAACGCATGCATGCATGCAGGGCAAGGTGGCAAGGGTGACAGTGCGTGCCTGCCAGTGCGGGGCAGGCAAGGGTCAAGGGTTGCCCCCCTCTGGGGGCTTCTTAGGCGTGTTGTCTCGCGGCAAGCCTTTTGCTGCTCGCAGCTCCTGTAACAGTCACACCCGGGACAGGCACACGCAAGGAAGCACAACGCAGGCTTGAGAAACGCATAGCTGGAGGCAGCCAAGGAAGGTACAACACAGTGGACGCATACGCAAGCTGATGTGGACATGCACACATGCTGACGCCAACACGTACACATACAGACTCGGACCCATTGTCTCCCTCCCTCACCACCTCCATCCCTCTCAAGCGCTCCTCCCCTCACTCACGCACCTCTTGCAGGGAGCGTATCTGCTGCTCCTGCTGCTGGCTGACCTGCTGCTCCGCTGCCAGATGCTGCCGCACCTGTGGAACAGGAGAGATAGCAGGGGAGGAGGTTTTGGGACTCTGACTGTCCGACTGAGAACACAGGCGACAGTCACACGTCCGACCTTGAAACACATTGTTTGCTCGATTCTATCACAGAATCATATCCGACCTTGGAACACGCGTCCATGACCTCCGCGAGTCGCAGTCGCTCGTCCTCCGCCTTCGCCTTCCACTCGCCCTCCTGCCGCCGCATCGCATCGTACAGCCGCTCCATCTGATTCCTGCCACGTGGCGCACACGCACGATCCAGACGTGACACACGCATGACACATCGATCGGGACGCGGTATAGAATGAAGACTTTAACGGGGACGGAAAGACAAAGGCTTGCTAACAGAGTCAGCCTGTTTCTGAAGAGGCGAGCAGGGGAGCAGGAAGCGTGGGGGACGATGTGATCGGCGAACCTGGACCGTCGATTGACGTCGATCTCTTGCTGCATCTGGTTGTGATGGTGCACCATCACAATGGCTGCTGCGATCGCCACCATGACGTAGCAGAAACGGCCGACGCTCGGCCGCGGCCACGGCGCGTGAGGGTGTCTCGTTGACCACATCGTGGAGATGTCGTAGACCGATGCGATACGACGTGATACGATGTGATAGTAACGATTGGGACGTTTTTGTACCGCAAATATAACGCTGGAACCGGGTTTGAATGAGCACGCACTGGATCAGGCTATGAAATTGCCACGGCGTGAGATGATAAGGATCCAGGTCGAGCACATGACGTGTAGCGCGCTCCGTGTTGCGAGGGAGGGGACAAGTATTTTGTGAAACAGGCTTCTATGGTGTGACTGATTTGTGCTCATGTGACTGCAGGCCAGATCTCACCCACCATCCCAAATAAATGTTTTCCGGGTTTCGGGTTCGGGTAGAGCTGTACAGTACCAATAAGCACTGCATTTTTCGCTCCTTCGTTTTTGCTAGTGTCACAGGTGATATTTACTGTAGTTTATTATTTTACTGTAAAAGAGTTGATTATATCAGGGAATACTGGCCGATTTACCCTAATATGCTTTGGAGAGCCTATGTCACAGCGGAACATTCCATGGCGAAGATGACGGCTACCGCGAAGGCTCGTTCTGACTTTCAAGTTCTTCGCGAAGATTTCCGTTTACGAACCGGCGACTACTGACGGACGAATGACCGAGTGAGACCCGTCCCGCGTGGTTGCTTTCCCACAGAGACTCCGTTCCGTTGCGTTCCCTCCCGCCTGCCCCAGAGGGATCTGGCGGGCAGAGGTGGACAGACGGATGAGGGGGTGATCCGTTTGCAGGGAATCCCGAGGGAGAGGAATACGTGGCACGGCAGGCACTCATCAGCCCGTGGGTTGAGTTGAGTCGTTCCCCAGAACGCCATCTGAGGGAGCCAAGTTAGGGTTTCTGGTTTACTTGGTACTTGTCGTTCCTCCTCCTCCCGCTCCTTATCTCATTAGCAGATCTGGAATAAGAGGAGAGTTTTTACGCTTTCAGGGTGTAGATTAGTTGTCGCGGCGGATCTTGCGCCGTGCCTTTAGTTGCGCGACAGTGAGTTTTTATGGTTTCTTAGCTTCGAGCGTTTTCGATTTTGAAGAGGCTTCAGCCTTGTCGCCGTAAATCGTGTTTGACCTTCCTGATAGCCGGTTTTGTTCTATCTTGCTCAAAATTAGGTTTCCGCGTAGCAGGGTCTGACACTGGTAGGCTCACCATTCAAGTATGCCATCCGTAATGTTTTCTTCTTTTTAGGTTCTTTTTATTAGATTCTCGTAAATCTAGTCATCCGGATTTTCTTAGGGAGGAATCATGAGGAAGGCGGAAGAATCAGGAGCGACGGCGTGTCAGATCAACTCAGAAGGCACATTGCCCGGATCTCGCAGCGACAAGGTCCAGCTGCGAGGCAACGAGAGCATAGATGATCCCAAGGAGGCCGGTCAGGAGTCGGTGGTGGTAGAGCGCAAGGGCGACCACGCCGCCATCTGCAAATGGACCATCGCGCAGTTCGGGAAAGTCAAGGCGCGCGCGCTTTGGAGCAAGTATTTCGAAGTAGGGGGGTTCGACTGCCGGCTGCTCGTATACCCGAAAGGCGATTCGCAGGCTTTGCCGGGGTACATATCCATTTATTTGCAGCTGACGGACCCGCGCGGGACGGCTAGTAGCAAGTGGGATTGCTTCGCGAGCTACCGGCTTTGCGTGGTGAACGTGAAAGACGACAGCAAGACGGTGCAGCGGGATTCGTGGCACCGGTTTTCGGGGAAGAAGAAGTCGCACGGGTGGTGCGATTTCACGCCGTCGTCGGTCGTGCTGGATTCCCGCGCGGGGTTTCTGATGACTGACGCGGTGCTTATAACGGCGGAGATTCTCATTCTTAACGAGTCCGTGTCGTTCTCGCGCGACAACGAGGTGCTCGCGTCGTCGATTACTCCCGCTACCGGGGAGGTTGTTAGCGGGAAATTCTCGTGGAAAGTTCACAACTTCTCGCTGTTTAAGGAGATGATTAAGACGCAGAAGATCATGAGTCCCGTGTTTCCTGCCGGAGATTGCAACCTCCGTCTGAGCGTCTACCAGTCATCGGTCAACAACGTCGATTACCTCTCCATGTGCCTCGAGAGTAAAGACGTCGATAAGTCGTCCGGCCCGGAGCGCAGCTGCTGGTGCCTGTTCCGCATGTCGGTGCTGAATCAACGGCCGGGATCGAACCACGTGCACAGGGACTCGTACGGCCGATTCGCGGCGGACAACAAGAGCGGAGACAACACGAGTCTGGGGTGGAACGACTATATGCGCATGGCGGATTTTGTTTCCGCGACTGCCGGGTATCTCGTGGACGATACGGCGGTGTTCAGCGCGTCATTCCACGTCATCAAGGAGTCGAGCACGTTCTCCAAGAACCCGTCGCTGCCGGGCGGGCGCGGCAGCAACGTGAAGAAGGGCGACGGGTACTTCGGGAAATTCGTGTGGCGGATCGATAACTTCACGCGGCTGAAGGACCTGCTGAAGAAGCGCAAGATCACGGGGCTGTGCATTAAGAGCAAGCGGTTCCAGGTCGGCGGGCGCGACTGCCGCCTCATTGTTTACCCGCGAGGTACGGTTGCGCTGCGCGTGCGGTGTGCACTGCTTGTGAGGTGTGCACTAGCTGTGAGGTATACACTAGTCGTGGTAGGGTCTCGTCGGGTGAAGTCTCCTGTGCCGAATTTCGCTTTTCTGTTCTCCGCGTTTACGTACATTTCCCCCCTCCCCAATTCTGCGTTCGTCGCGCCGTCTCTTCCGCCGTTTTCTCGCACTTTTATCGCTTTTCACCAGCCCACTACGACCCTCCCGTCCCTTTCCGTCGCCGCCTTTCTCGCCTTGCCCGCCGCTTCTGTTCCCTTCCCCCTGTTCCCCGTCCACCATGCACCGAATTCCACCCGCCCAGACCAGACGCAGCCGCCGTGCCACCTATCGATGTTCCTTGAAGTCACGGATTTGCACGTGCCCTCTGCCCTACCCGAAGTTACTCCCGTATCCCTCCTTATCCCCCCATTTCCCCCTACTTCCCCGCTGTTTCCCCCATATCCCTCCGACCACACCCGCGCAGGCCAGTCGCAGCCGCCGTGCCACCTGTCCATGTTCCTCGAGGTCACAGACTCGCGCGTGCCAGCAGCCGACTGGAGCTGCTTCGTGAGCCACCGCCTGTCCGTCGTCAACCAGCGGCAGGAGGACCGGTGCGTCGCCAAGGAGTCGCAGAACCGCTACAGCAAGGCCGCGAAAGACTGGGGCTGGCGCGAGTTCGTTACCCTCACCTCGCTCTTCGACCTAGACTCGGGGTTCCTTGTATCGGATACTGTGGTGTTCTCCGCGGAGGTGCTTATACTGAAGGAGTCGTCGTTTCTGTTCGAGTATACGGACGAGGGGGCGGCGTCCCCCGCGGGGCTGGTGGGGATAGGGGGCGCGGGGACGGCGCAGCTGATCGCGGGGGGCGCCATGGACGTGACAGGCGCGAATAAGATCGCCAAGCGCGGCGTGTTCACGTGGAAGGTGGAGAATTTTCTGGCGTTCAAGGAGATCATGGAGACGAGGAAGATCTTCAGCAAGTTCTTCTCCGCTGGCGGCTGTGATCTCCGCATTGGTGCGTTTTGAAAGGCATAACTCGTTTGCTTTCCCCGACTCAACGTTTTCCTTGCACCCTCTCCCTGCACGCTGTGTTCGCCCCCTGGCTCTGCTTTTCCGCCCCTTGTCCCCTACCCCAGCCCCCCCCTCCCCACGTCCCGCCCTCTATTTCTCGCTCGTTTCGCTTTGCTGTTTTAGCGGGCAATTAGGGTTTCATGTGCACCATGCGCCACCATCCATGCGCCACCATCCATGCGCCACACGCTCCTCAATGCCTCTCCAGGCGTGTATTAGTTGTGCGAAACGCTCTGCATCTGCCTGGAGAGCGAGCAGGCCATGGCGGGCGGCTATCCCGGTCGTTGAAGCCCTCTCGCACATGTCGTTGTTTCGACAACTCAAACCCCCTTTCCCCCCTCCCCCTCCCCTCGCACCAACCCCCTTCTCCCGGCACGCCCCTTCCTTTCCCCTCCCCCCCCTTTCCGCTCAGGCGTGTACGAGTCGTTTGACACGCTGTGCATCTACCTGGAGAGCGATCAGGCGATGGCGGGAGCAGGGCCGTCCACAGCCACCACCATGGCGGCAACGGACATGGACAAGAACTTCTGGGTGCGCTACAAGATCGGCATCGTCAACCAGAAGGCGGCGGAGGCGAGCGTGTGGAAGGAGGCGAGTGTGTGCACGCGCACGTGGAACAACAGCGTGCTGCAGCTCATGAAGGTCGCGGAGCTGCTGGACCCGGAGGGCGGGTTTCTCGTGCGCGACACGGTTGTTTTCGTCTGTGATATCCTCGACTGCTGCCCCTGGTTCGAGTTCTCGGACCTCGAGGTGAGAGGGCGTGAAGGGTTTGAGGTTGGGAGCAAGGGGGTTGTGGGGCAGGGGGTAATGGGGCAGAGGGTAGGGGATTGTGGGGCAGGAGGTAGGGGATTGTGGGGCAGGGGACTGTGGGGCAGGGGGTAGTGGGGGGCACGCGCACTTGGAACAACAGCGTGCTGCAGCTCATGAAGGTCGCGGAGCTGCTGGATCCGGAGGGCGGGTTTCTCGTGCGCGACACGGTTGTTTTCGTCTGTGATATCCTCGACTGCTGCCCCTGGTTCGAGTTCTCGGATCTCGAGGTGAGAGGGTATCTGGGGTGGGGATTGTGGGGTACGGGGTTGTGGGGTAGTGGGGTTGGGGCGTAGGGGGTTATGTTTGCGGTTTTGAGTGGAATCACGTCATTGCAATATCGTATGAGACGCATGTGAAGATGCAGGTAGGGGGTTCGGTTAGATGGTTCTGTTAGCCCGTTCAGTTCGATGAACGGGGCTCAGGGGAGGAGGTACATGGTTAAGTGGTTGTTCCAGTCTTTGGCAGATGTTGCTAGTGTGAAGTGCGAAAGGTAGAGTGGTGATGTCAACTGCTTTAGGTTCGCACTTGAAAGTTGTGGCTCTGTACTCAGAGAAAACAATGAATTTGCGCACTTTAAAAGTCTGTCTTTGCACTTGTGAGTGCTCTGATTTCGCGCTTGTAATTAGTGTGAATTCTCACTTGTTGCTACTACGTAATCCATCTCGTAAACACTGTAAACTGCGTCTCAAAACGCTTGGAATACGGTGGAGGAACCACTGTACTGGAGCAGGGAGCTGAGGGTGAGGGTACCCACCAGTTTCTGCCCTAGACCCCTCAATCTGCTCCTCTCTCTCGTACCCCCGTTGCCCACGCACAGGGCGTTCCTGCGCAGGTTATGATGTCAGACGAGGAGGAAGACGAGGAGGAGGAGGAGGACGATGAGGAGGATGAGGATGGGGACGGGCTCAGCACAGACGGGGAGGAGCTGCTAGATAGTGACGACGGGGAGGTGGGCTTGGGAGGACCAGGAGGCCCGGGGGGTGCTGGAGGGTTGGGGACCATGCCTTCCTCCTCCTCTTCCCTTGCCCCGCCCTCCTCCGCCGGTTCTGCTGCCGCTGTGGCGGCTTCTGCTGCTGCCTCTGCTGCTGCCTCTGCTGCTGCGTCTGCCGCTGCTTCTGGTGGTGGTGGTGGAGGCTCGTCTGGGGCTGTGACGGGAGGGGCAGTGGCGGGGGCAGGAGGGGGGTTGATGGGGGATGAGGAGGACATATTCCGCTCGCTGCTGGTGCGCGCGGGGTTCCATCTGAGCTACGGGGACAGCTCCCCCCTGCTGCTGGACCCCACGCAGCTGCAGGTGACGCTGCGGGAGAAGCTGCTCATGGATGCGGGCGCAGTGGCCACCTTCCTGGGCGGCCTGCGCACCTACCTGGACGACCCCACCAAGATTAAGCGCCTCTTCCTCCCCCCCGCGCAGCCCGCCTCCGCCTCCTCCGCCTCTGCTTCCGCTTCCGCCCCGGCCGGCGCGTCTGGCGCGGGGGGAAGAGGCGGGTATGGCAAGGGAGGGAGGGGCGGGCAGCAGCGGGGGCAGAACCAGGGCCGGGGGGGACAGGAGCAGGGGGGAGCGCAGGGGCAGGGGCAGGCGCAGGGGCAGGGGGGAGCACAGGGTCAGGGGCAGGGGGAGGGGGAGCATCCGTCGCTGGTGAATCTGCTGATGGGGGTGAAGGTGCTGCAGCAGGCCATAGTGGACTTGCTTTTGGATATCATGGTGGAGTGCTGCCAGCAGCGCGCGCCCTCCCAGGGCGACGCAGACGCTGGCCGCCTCTTTGGCACAGGTGAGCAGTGGCGAGGGGTGGGGAGGGGTCGTGAGAGGTGGTGAGGAGTGGTGACGAGTGGTTTGGGGGAATCTGCTGATAGGGGTGAATGTGCTGTGGGCCATTGTGGATCTGCGTCCACACGGAATTGTTTGTGTGCCTCTCATAAGTGCCTCGCTGTGCACTCTGCCCCAGTCTCCCACCACTGACGTCACCGCGTTGCTTCTGTGTCTCCGTTTCTCTGTGTGCGTGTGTGTGATTGTGCGTGCATGTGTGTGTCTGTGCACCTGGGTCTGTATGCGTGCATGTGTATGTCTGTGTGTGTACGACTTATGCTGCCTCTCTTTTTCCTTTGCCCTCAACATTGACCACCAGACGACACTGCAACCTCCCTCCCCACTCTTCCAGTCCCCCTCCCTTCCGCCACCACGCCTCCGCTCGCCCCGTCCGCCTGCACCCCTCCGCCATCCCTCCCCGCGTCAGCCCCCCCTTCCGCCCCCGCCACCCGCGAGGGGAAGCGCGGGGGCGGCGGGGGCGCGGGTGGCGCGTCAGGGGGGCGGAGAGACGCCGCGGATTCCGCCTTCCAGGAGCTGTCAGTGGCGCAGAGGCTAGAGCAGGGGCACGGGGGAGCGGGGGGATCCGACGCGGCCGTGCAGAGCAGCAGCTATGGCAGCGGATACGGGGTTAATGGGGGTGGGGGGGGACGGCGGGGCGGAAGCAGCACAAGCAGTGGGGGAGGAGGGAAGGGAGCGAGCGCGGGGGCAGCAGGGGGCGTGTTGGGATCAGGGGGGAGTGGCAGCAGCAGCAGTAGTAGTGGGGTTGTGACGGGGAGTGGTGCTGGGGAAGGGTTTGGCGCGCAGGTGGGGGGGAAGGTCGCGGGGGGGAGGGTGAATGCAGTGGTGGAGGGGGAGAGCAGCAGTAGTGGGTCTGCAGTGACCAGTGTGAACGGAGAGAGCTCGCAGCAGCAGCAGCAGCAGCAGCAACAGAGGGGGCAGCGACAGCTCCCCACATCGGTATGCTCTGCTGACTCTTGCGTGCCCTTCCTTGCACCTGGCTCGGTCCGTTTCCGCAGCGCTCGTCTAGATTGTCTTGTAGCAGCGCAGCCTTGTAGCGTAGCAGGCCTTTCCATTGCCCCCGCCTTGCATGTTCTTGACTAAACTCCAATGCATCCCCTTTGACAGTCCAATTTTCCTTCCATCCCTCCTCCTTTCTCCCATTCTCCACTCCTCCTCTCTCCCTCTCCGCCCTCCCTCGCATCCATCCCTCTCCCTCCAAAAAATAATCAAAGCAGTCGATGCGCTCTGTATCTTTGAAGTCACCGTTTTCCACTCTCTCTCACTCCTGCCCACTCTCACTCGCCCCTCTCCCCTTCGCTCCCCTTCCCCGCAGATCAAATGGCCCGAAAAGGCGGACAAGCTACAGAACATTATAGTCGACTCCCTCCCGGCCCTCGAAACTATCGTTTTTCCACACTTCCACACCCACTTCCACACCCTCTTCCCCTCCCTCTTCCCCCTCAGATCAAATGGCCGGAGCAGGCAGACGAGCTGCTGGGCATCATAGTCGACTCGCTCCGCGCCCTCGAAACCGCCGTGCCGCAAGCCCAGGCCTACCCATACCCCGACCCGCCGTTGCGGCGCCGCCCGCACTCCGCCCGCAAGGTGGCGATGGTGCTGGAGCACGCGCCCCGGGCCTTCCAAGCCGAGATCCTTGGCTTGGTGCCGAGGCTGGTGGATGTGGAGGAGCATGGCGAGGCTGCAGCGGCGCTGCTGCAGCGACTGAGACAGCCCAATGCCGAGCCCATGATGCAGCTGCCGGTGAGTGTTGTCGATGCCACGTTAGAGTTGGTCACAAACTGACTTGCTGATTCAACTAAAGAGTAACCTGCTGCAGCGGCTCCGACAGCCTGGCTCGAGCCTCTGATGCAGATTAGATTCTTGGACGCATGTTGGATTGTGGAGGCAGTGCCGCTGCTGGTGCTGGTGCCGCCGCTGCCGCCGCCGCCGCCCCCGCCGCCGCTGCTGCTGCTGCTGCATGTGATGAGACAACTATGAGGGTGCTGAAACACGGTTCTCCTTGCTTGCTTCCCTTCCCTCTCACTGCCCCGCATTCCCTCTCCCTGTCCCTGTCAGGTGGTGGGAGTGCTGGTTCAGGTGAATTCTAAAATCAGATAATATATTATCTCGATCTTGTCCTCCTCATGCCCTCACTTCTTCAGGTGGTGGGAGCGCTGGTGCAGATGGAGTTAGACCCGCTCACCTGGTCGCTGGTGCTTGAGGAGGCGGTGCTGCTGCTGCTGCTGTGTGTGTGATGGCATGGCCTCTGATACAATACTTTCTGTGCATTTCCTTTTGCTGTCCCTGTCAGGTGGTGGGAGCGCTGGTGCAGATGGAGTTAGACCCGCTCACCTGGTCGCTGGTACTCGAGGAGGCGGTGCTGCTGCTGCCACACACCACCGACGATGCCCTTGCTGCGGCTCTCAGCTTCGTGCTTAAAGCTGCCGCCGAGTGCCAGCAGCTCGCCCCTGCTGTAAGCTCCTCCCTCAAGTGTTATCCTCTGTATAAGCTGCATGTTGTTGCTGCTGTAAGCCTCTTATGCCGCCCTCAGCTTCGTGCTTAAAGCCACAGCTGAGTGCCAGCAGCTCGCCCCTGCTGTAAGTTCCTCCTGCTCTGCCTCCTCTCTCCCTTATCGCTCTCCCACTTGCTGCAGTAGTCTGTCAGTGAGATCACTGACTTGAGGCGCCACTAGTCACATCCTCCCCTGGCTTCCCTTACTCCTCTCCCCTCCTCTTCCAGGTGCGGGCAGTGCGGGAGCGGCTGCAGCAGCTGGGTCCCGCCGTCTCCCCGCGCGTTCTCCACGCCCTGCGAGCCTCCGTAGTGGCCCGCGAAGACATAGCCATGGCCATGCTGAGAGACATAGACGCCGACACACGCCCCTTCAACCCGCACCTCCTCTCCTCCGCAATGGCTGCGGCAGCCGCGTCCCTCCCCTCGCTGCTGCCCATGGCCCAGATGGCGTCTATGGGGCAGATAGATCTCTCTCACTTGCAGCACTCGCTCACGCCCGAGGCTCTTGAGAGTCTCGCTGCGTTTGCCTCAGCCTCTGCTAACAGTGGGACTGCTGCTGCGGCGGCGGCAGCTGTGGCGGCTGCGGCGGCTGGGGCGGGGAGTGCCGGGGTGATGGCGAGCGGGGGCGGTGGTGGTGGAGTGGGAGGGGGAGTGGGAGGGGGAGTGGGAGGGGGTAGCGTGTCCGCTGGGGCGTCGGGAGGGGGGTCTCCTGGAGGGACTTTCACCAGTAGCAGCTCTGCTGGCTTGAGTGCAAACTCTCTGACCACCTTCTCCCCCTACGCCTCCTCCCCCGCCCCCGCTCTCCCCTCATCCTCCCCCGCGGCTGCCGCAGCAGCAGCAGAGCTCCAGCTGGCGGCCGCACAGCAGGCTGCTGTCATGGCAGCTGCAGCCGCCGCCTGCTGGCGTGTCGCTGACGTGGACATGCTGATGGAGATGCTGACGCTGCCACGTCTGCGGGGGAACGCGCAGGCGGTGTTTGAGCGGGCGGTGGCGCGAGGGGCGTTTGGGGAGCAGGCGATGGTGATGGTGCTGGAGAGGCGCCGGTCTCAGCATCTGGCCTCGCTGTCTGCTGCGTCGGCGGGAGGAGGGATGGACGGGATGGATGGGAGTGGGATGGCGGCGGGTGCTGCTGGGTTGCCGGCCCTGACGGGATCAACGACGGGTGGGAGTGAGGTAGGGGATGAGCAGCAGCAGCAGCAGCAGCAGCAACAGCAGCAGCAGCAGCAACCCCAGCAGCAGCAGCAGAGGCAGCAGCAGGGGAAGCAGCAGCCGGCGCAGCAGCTTTCTCGAAAGAAAAGGCGACAGCAGCAGCAGCAACAGCAGCAGCAACAGCAACAACAGCAACAGCAGCAGCAGCAACAGGAACAGCATGAGAGGTGTCTCGAGCCCTGCAGCTCCACATGCACCGCCGGAGCAGCAGCCGCCGCAGCAGCAGCAGCAGGGGCAACCATCACCCCCTCCACCTCCCCGGCCCTCGACCCCTCTGGAAACGCCCTTGTCCCGTCCAGCTCCTCAGGGCTAGGCACCGGGCTGGAAGACACGGATTTCCCCACTGTGATCGGGCTCGCAGAGGCGCTGGCGATGAGTGAGGAGCAGCGCGTGCGGGAGTTTGTGGGCACGCTGTATGCGGTGCTGTACAAGGTGTATGGGGACGCGGGACGCCGGGAGCGCATATTGAGAGGGCTTGTGGCGAGAGTGACGAGCTGCCAGCGAGGCGCGCCGGAAGGGGAGCTTGGTCTTGATATCTTGTCATTCCTGGTGAGTGGTCGTGGTTTGTTTGATGAGTGTTTGGCTGGTTATTGGTTGGTCTTTTGAGGCGCCTCAAAAGTTGGTGAATGCACGGTGAGTATGCTGCTACGACTGGCTGAGTGAGGGGGTTTGTGGGCACGCTGTATGCGGTGCTGTACAAGGTGTATGGGGACGCGGGGCGCCGGGAGTGGATACTGCGAGGGCTTGTGGCGAGAGTGACGAGCTGCCAGCGAAGCGCGCCAGAAGGGGAGCTTGGTCTGGATATCCTTTCTTTCCTCGTGAGTCGTTGTGGGTTTTGGGAATGAATGCTCTTTGTGCTCTGTGTGTGTGTGTGTGTGGAACGGTGATGAGCTGCCAGCGAGTTTTGAGGCGCCTCAAAAGTCGTTTTGGGAATGAATGCTCTTTGTGCTGTCTGTGTGTGGCACGGTGATGAGCTGCCAGCGAGTTTTGAGGCACCTCAAAAGTCGTTTTGGGAATGAATGCTCTTTGTGCTGTCTGTGTGTGGCACGGTGATGAGCTGCCAGCGAGTTTTGAGGCACCTCAAAAGTCGTTTTGGGAATGAATGCTCTTTGTGCTGTCTGTGTGTGGCACGGTGATGAGCTGCCAGCGAGGCGCGCCAGAAGGGGAGCTTGGTCTGGATATTCTCTCGTTCCTTGTGAAATTCCGTGACCGTTTTTTATGCATGTGCTGTGTGCCGGGTGGGGCGATTCGTGAGGGTTGTTAGGTATTATGTATCTTCACCTCGCCACTCTTTTTTTTTTTTTTTTTTTTTTGGCACCTCATAGTACCTCACTTTCCTGACTGGCTGACTCTCTGCTCTCCCCCCCTCTTCCTCCCCCTCTCCCCCCTTCCCTCCCCCTGCCTCTCCCCTTCCCTCCCCCCTCCTCTCCTCTTTCTTCCCCCCACCAACATCCTCCCCACCCTTCCACCTCTTCCCCCCTTCCACCTCTTTCCTGATTGGCTCCCTGCCTGGGTACCCGCCCTCCCCTTCCCCTTCCTTGTGAAGCGTTCTCTTTTCCTAACTGAACCATACCCTCTTTGCCACCCTCGCCTTTCCCCCCCTTTTCCCACATCCTTCCCCACTCTCTCCAACCCCCGCCCCCCCTCCTCCCCCCTCTCCCCCCCATCGCCCTGCACAGGCGCAAGAGGAGGGGGTGGCGCGGCCAGTGCTGTCTCTCATGCGCGAGGCGGCTGACGTGGCGGTGCAGGAGAGGGCGGTCGTGTGGCAGCAGCTGCAGGCCACGGAGGGGGAGTTGCGGGCGGCGAGGGCGGAGGGGCAGGGGCAGGTGGAGCGGCACGGGCGGGAGAAGGCGAGCCTGCAGCAGAAGCTGAGCGAGGCTGAGGCGTCTGTAGGCAAGCTCAAGGTGAGAAGTTGGTGGTGGTGGGGGTACGGTGATGTTGGGGAGTTTTGATATTGGTGAAATTTGAAAGTTGCTGGCTTGTAGAGGCAGGGCGGGAGAAGGCGAGCCTGCAGCAGAAGCTGAGCGACGCTGAGGCGTCTGTGGGGAAGCTCAAGGTGAGAAACGGGTGATGGTGGGGGCAGGGGAGTTTTGGGGTAAGGGGACTGGGTTGGTGTAGTCAAAAAGCTCTGGCTGGTGGAGCGGCACGGGCGGGAGAGGCGAGCCTGCAGCAGAAGCTGAGCGAGGCTGAGGCGTCTGTTGGCAAGCTCAAGGTGAGGGCAGGGTGATGTAGAGAAAAGGCTTTGGTTGTGAGAGCAGGGTGATGCCCTGCGGGTCAGGGTCAAGTTGAGGGCAGGCTCTCACTGTGGCCCGCTCCTCCCCGGTTCGGTTCCCACATCCCACTCGTCCCCGTGTTCTCTGCAGGCTGAGGTGAAGGCGGAGGCAGGGAAGGGAGCGAGCGAGAGGAGGGAAGCGGTGGAGCGGCTGAGGGAGATGGGGGGCGCAGTGGAGTGGGCCAAGGCGGAGAAAGACAGGCAGGGCTCAATCAGGCTATCTCTTGCCCCGTTGTCCCGTACCAACCCTCGTTCCCTCCTGTGTGCAGGCTGAGCTGAAGGCTGAAGCAGAGAAGGGAGCGAAGGAGAGGCGAGAGGCGGTGGAGAGAGTGAGGGAGATGGAGGGGGCGGTGGAGTGGGCCAAGGCGGAGAAGGACGACGCGGTGAGCAAGCTGGCGGGGGAGAAGCGCCAGCTGGCGGAGCGGCTGAGGGAGAGCGAATCGCAGCTCACGCAGCTCAAGTCGCGCAAGCGGGAGGAGCTCAAGGTGAGCCTTTCTCTTTCTCGTCTACGCTCCTTTCTGTTCCCGCTTAAACCGCTTGAAAAGAATCGTTGGAGAGCGAACCATTCAGTCTGACTTTTATGTGAAGCCAGCATTTCTTGCCTCTTCGATTCCGTATGATGTCGCACCAGGGTTACATTCAATGCTATGTGTCTCCTTCCTTCCTCCCCCTCCTCCTCCCTCCCCACTTGTCTTCACCCTCTCCCCCCCGACTCCCTACGCCTTCCCCCTTCCCGCTCCCACTCCTCTTCCCTGCTCCCCTCCTAAAAACCAACAGAAAGTGGTGAAGGAGAAGAACGCCCTAGCAGAGCGCCTCAAAGCCGCAGAGCAGGCGAGGAAGCGGTTCGACGAGGAGGTCAAGCGCTTTGCCACGGAAACCGTGTCTCGCGACGAGGCTCGGCAGTCCCTGGAGGAGGAGGTTCGGCGGCTGACGCAGACGGTGGGGCAGACGGAGGGGGGGCTCCGGGAGAAGGAGGAGCAGGTGCAGCGATACGAGGCATACATTGATGGCATGGAGGCAAAGCTGCATGCTCACCAGGATTATATCCAAACCCTGGAGGCATCCCTTCAGGAGGAGATGTCTCGGCACGCGCCGCTGTATGGTGCTGGGTTGGAGAATCTGTCACTTGCCGAGCTTGACACTCTGGCTCGGATTCATGACGAGGGGCTCAGGCAGGTTCGGCTGCTGCAGCAGCAGAGGCAGCAGCAGGGTCAGCAGCCTCAGCAGCAGCAGCAGCAACAGCAACAGCAACAGGCAGTTGCGCAAGCGCAGCAGCAGCCGCCGCAACAGCAGCTGCAGCAACAGCAGCAGCAGCATGCTCAGCAGCAGCAGGTGCACTCGCAGGCACACATGCAGCAGCACGCGCACCTGCAGCAGCAGCCATCCCCGCCACCGCAACAGGCAGCAGCAGCAGCTCTGGCTGACAGCTTAGCTGTCGGCCCCTCATTGGACCACGCGGGCGCGGCTGCAGGCTCTGCTGCAGCGTCAGCCTCACAATCTCTCCTCGTTGCGCCTGCCCTGGGTGCTCTTTATCTCTCCAACCGCCCCACACCCTCGCACCCCGGGGCCATGCCCTCTTTACCCATGCCTGCTGCTGGCTTGGCCGGACCGGGTGTTGCCGGCCCTGCTGTGGCTGGGGTTCCAGGGATGGGGCCCGGGATGGGAGCGGGAGTTGCTGCTGCTGCTGGAGTGGGAATGGGCATTCGGCCTGTTCATCCTGCAAACGGCTTGCCGCCGCATGCGCTGAGTCATCCGGCCGGCGGTCTGACTCATCATGCTGCAGTTGCTTCTGCTGCTCCTGGTAGCAGAGTGCCTGCTGTGGCCTCGGCCAATAGCAGTCTGCCTTCCACCAGTGGGCCGCAGACGAATGGGCCGTTGGGTCCTTGGTTTGCTTCTCATTAGACTGTCCGTCTGTGGTTTCTGGTTTCGAATTGGTGTTTATCGTGCGAGCGACATATGTGATATCTTTTGGGCTCGAAAGGATGAGGGTTTGGAAGGATGCGTCTAAAGAGTCTCTTCTGTGGCTGAAATCTTGCAGTATCTCTGTGAAATGGTTGTGCTTGTGGTTAAGCTGACATGGTGTCTTCTGGCCTTAACCAATACTGTAAGGAAATTACAAAGCAGAAATGGGAAATTGTGTTACAAATTTCGGAAATTTGCAACTTTTCTCTCGTTGCAAATTCGTGGTGACCTGTGGTCTACTGAAGCCTCGGGTCCGGGACATCCGCCGCATCGTCATATCCGCACACCACTGCGATCGGCTGTCGTTTCTTCCCATGAGGCAATCACTGCAAATACGTGTTGTCCCCGATATGATCCGATCCGCCTTGAGGGAACATCAGGCATGCGTTGATATGCTGTGCAAGCCAATCATCCCCCACCCGCCATAACTCAAATGAGGTGTCAACCCTTGCTCCCGCGCTGATGGGGATAATTCTTAGCTTGATTAGTCCAATCCTAGCCGTTCCGTGCGGCAACTGGATTTCTATCGTCTTACCCTAGCCGAATCCCTAGCTATTCTTTCTTCTGTCGTGCTTTCAGTTTTACCTCTCTCAGCTAGCCAATACGTACCACTTTCCCTGTCACTTGGATTCAGATTGTGCAATATCCCTTTAGTATCCCCTCACCTTGCCTACTTGTGTCATTTGCATTTTGCGATTCTCTGATTCAGTCAGTCGTGCCGCTCTAGGGACTTTCTGCGTGAGTTTCCAGTGTCAGTATTCGCGCGATAACCTAAAGCGATGGACCTCGTACAAGATAATGCTGCGCATACGCAAGCTTCTGAGCGGTCTGAGAGGAATTTGGAACAGTTCGGCATGCAGACGCAGGCTGTGAGCGACGAATTCGGTTCGACTGTTACGGACGACAGAGAGGAAGAGGGAGCTCCTTATGCCCATCATGAAGACCTGTCTCCGGAAGAGTGGAACAAAAGACGAGAGCAGCTCAAGTAAGCTTGTTATTTGTTTTTTCGTCGTATAGAATAGACCTGGCGACCTTAGCCTTATGAAGCATGACTTGCCATGTCGATGTCGTGCAGGCAATGCCTAAGAATGCTTCAAAAATCGATACCGTCTTCACTGGTTGGTCCGGAGCCTGACGTGGCGGAGCTTCTAGAAAGCGCTGCTGCTTACATCAACTACCTGAAGGTCCGTTGCCAGCCTTTGCGAGTGCTTTTTTCCATGATTGTCTGGCTACATGGTGGGCATTTCCCTGAAATCTCCCCATCTTTGTTTTGCAGACGTATAACCAGACCTTGGCTGTTGTAGTCGCCCATCAGCTGTAACATTAGGGTTTGTTTCTTCCGCTTTTCTTTCTAGGGTTTGTATATTTTTAGAATCGTCATGTTTGCTTACTTCGCTATGCAACTTTTAATATTGGTAACCGGAAGCCAGATCCTCCATTAGGTAACTGCTCGCACTTGATTGAAGGTGGCTTGTGAAATGTTGAGGCTCCAAGTGTGGCTAGTTTATATGTGTTTAGTACTTCACTCCTCTCTATCCTTGAAAATGATGTTATCATGTTAGATGGTTTGTCTAGCTGTTGCCATAGTATGAAAGCTAGGTTTTCTGCAAGCTTGGAATGTATTTGAAATTCTCCGACATATGTATACCGTGGCTTAGCAGTGTAGATGTATTGAATCTATCAACTTATGGTAATGCGATACAACTACGTATCAATCTACAAGGCATCATCGACGAATAGGCAGCTGGGCCCACTGAGACAGTGAGAACTCAGCTGAATGGACCTGATTGCCTCCTTGGTCAGCCCAGGGCAATTTTTCAAGTTGAGTCCAGTGAGCTTCTGGCACTGAGTCATGATCTTCTTCAGACTCTTGTCAGTCATTCCCTGGCATCCGGCTAGGGAGAGATTGAGAAGCGTTGGCCCCACGCTGCTGACAAGAGCAGACAGTCCACGGTCACTGATCCCGCACATGGACAAGTCCAAGTCTTCAAGAGCTGTGCACGATGAGGCTATGGCTCTCAAGCTGCGGTCGGTCACATTGGAGCAGCCATCCAGGGAGAGGGATTTCATTGAGTTGCCACAGCAACGTGAAATGGCAACCACGGCTTTGTCTGTAATCTGGGAACAGCCGCTGAGGTCCACGCTTGAGAGCTTCGACCCGCAGCCTGCTACTAGGCTAGTGACGCCCTTGTCCTCTGCGCCCGAAAGGCCCGCCAACTCGAGAGACTGGAGGCTGGCGTTGCTGCGACCCAGCATCTCGAGACACCGGCGATCTACACCGTCGCAGTGGCTGATGCACAGACTGGTAAGTTTGGAGCAGGATCCGCTCCATATGCAGCACCCGCCCTTGCAAACCCCCTCATGTTGCTGCTGCTGCTGACTCGCCTCCTCAGAACCCCGCGCACAGGAAAGATTGGAGAGTTTGTGCAGAGTTAGCGACTCGAGGGATCCTGCTGCGTCAAGAGCGTCCTTAATCCCACAGCACGTGACGGCGGGACACTTGGACAAACTGAGACTCTTCACACTGCAACACCCCTCAACGATCGCCCTTAAAGCCTTGTTTGTGAGCTGCTTGCAGCCGGTGAACGTGACGGATAGCAGGCTCTGGAATCCTTTCGACTGACCAACTCCTCTGAAACCCTCTTCTGTCAACAAAGGTAAATCTGAAAGCTTCAGCCACTGAAGACCACCCACGTGTTCACCCACCAGTTTCAAACCAGCGTCTGTAAGGCCAATTTTCCCTGACAGTCGCAACCGCTTCAGTTCCTTGCAAGAAGATCCCATGAGTTTCAATCCATACTCGTTCACCAGGGGCAAGTCCGACAGCGCTAGAGACACCAAACGCTTCGAGCCGGAGGCCATGGCGGCGAGGAACGCGTTCGACGCGCGAGGACACCCTGAGACGCTGAGATTCAGGAGCTCGTGGCAGCCACGCGCGATCGCGGACAGGCCCTTGTCAGTGACACGCGGACAGTTCATTATATCGAGCCGGCGGAGAGCCTTGCAACGGGACGCGAGCATCCGGAGCACCTCGTCGTCGACGTACGGGCAGTTCCAGAGAGTCAGCGACAGCAGCCCGGGACTCGCGCCGACAATCGCCTGAAAGCCGAGATTGGTGAGGCGCGTCGGCGTGGAGATTGCCGAAACCGCTGCGAGACGGTCCCCACGAACCACTAAGCGGCTGAGTCCGCCGCGGCTAGGTAGGCCGATGGCCATCGAGAGAAGCCTCGTGTCCGAGGCATGCCGGCCCTCTAGGCAACGCGACAAGTCACCAGCGGTACTCGGTACCGACTGTTTCTCGGAATCTGCAGCGTCGGAAGTAATTGCCTCTGTTTTCGTCGCCAACGGACCTATGGCGAAGGGAGCAGCACCGTTCCAGCCCAGAAGGCCCTGGATCTGAAGCCAGCGACGGCAGACGAGAGCGCAGGAGCCGCGGTCGTTGGCGTTGGGTAGGAAGGAAAAGATGTGAGACAAGCACTCGTCTGGGAGGTCGTTGGTCAGGTCCACGGACTCCCGGCGGTGAGACGACAGCATGCGCTTCGCCCATGGTAAGTCCTCTGCGATGAACGAATGGGGTGAAGGCTCAGGCGAAGCGTCCTCGATATAATCTGATTCCTCCGAGGCCCAAAAGTTATTCGAGTCTGGGTTAAGGGAGAGCTCTGAACCCCATCGCTTGACTAGTTTCTGTGTGTCGGCTTGATTCCTGTCCTGCTGGACGCGGGAAGAGGCCGCTAGCCAAGAATTGTCGAAACACATTGTGGTATGGCGCTAAGGGTGTCAAACAGAATAGTTACAATCCTAACGACGAAGGTAAGAACGACAACGCGAAGTCGCTCCGAGAATCACAATATGTGTTAGCCGACACAAACTACGATGGAATGCTTAAGTTGCTGGAGATTTTAGCTGCTGGACACTTCAATTGGTCCGCCAGGGTGAACGAAAAAACGTTTGGAAGCAAGAAAGTGCAGAAGCGGCAGACAAATGCAAGCAGGGGAGTGAACCTATAGCAGGCAATGGCGGCGACGGGCTTTGGGAGGAAGCACGGTGTCAGGCCGATGGATCAGTGACAGGACGCCAGCGCGAAGGGGAGGGTGGTGCACTTGCCAAGCTACGGGTTACCAACTTGCCACGGAATCGCTGCACTGCATTTGCAGCTTCTCCTCCTGAAGTTGAGGCTCTGGAGCCATGGAGGCGAAGGGACTGGGACGGAATAGTGGATGAGGTGAGAAGAGAGGAGAATCAGAGAGATTTGGAGAGGAAAGGGGATATCGCCACTTGGAATGGTGAAGGGGTGGAGTGGAGGCTTGTTGCGGGGCGATTGGAGTGGTGGAGAGAGGTGTGGAGGAGCGGGTGGAGGGGAGGAGGGAGGAAAGGACGCCCACGTGCTTCACTCCTCACTAGAGGTGGAGGAGAAAGGAGAAACGCCAGAGGGGGCGAGGCGAGGCGAGGTGAGCTGATACGGGTTGCTTGCTTCTGTCTTGGTTGGTGCTTCCCAGGGACCACCGCGCACAGAGACAAACCGTGCAGGTGTCCTCCTCCGCGTGTCAGCTGGCGCGTTCATGAACTGGATGCTGCTGACGCAGCAGAAACCCATTGCTGGAGAGAGCCACGCTGGATTAACGTGATCAATCGGACGGCCGCCATTGCTGCGAGAATGGTGTCAGTTTTTGCAAAAACGGCTGCCCCAACCATCCAACATTCGGGCGAATCTTGTGAATGTGCATGGCGTTCGGGCAGGTAAACTGTGGTGAGTTGGATCTGGTCAGGACTACAAATGTGATGGGATCTGCTTCCACAGGGCGAAAATTTGCATTGCTCAAGCCATTGGCGGTGAAATCCTTTCCCCACCAAAGCAACTCAACACCGCACTCCACAGAATTTTATCCATACGTGCAGATATTCTGCCAAGGTAGGCAGTGTTCTCGCAACAAACGGTGGAGCTCTTCAACTACCCGATTATAATATCCCTTGCGTAAACAGCCCTTTCGTATTCAAACTCACAGGCAGAACACGGAAGGCAAAGCCGAGACTTGGGAGGGAGGTTGAATTGGAAAGGGGAAATGTGGTGCTGTAAGATGTCCAATGTTAATTCTCCAATTATGAATACTTATTGGGTGTTTGTGTGTGTACGACCCTACAAAACAGGTGCATGTTACCATCCAGACTTTTGGGAACACGGTGAACCTTCCTCCGTCAGTACGGCCCGCCAGGTTCATGCTCTACCACAACACCAGAGCTAAATTATTACGAACAATCAAAGAGCGCATCTGGACCGAGGGGGTAGCACGCCAACGCATGAAGTCACTCTATTCTGATTGGCTAGAACATGTACAGCGCAGCCATCTAATCATACTCTCCCGCAACCTTTCGAATGATGCCCGTTGTGCATCTGGAGACACGATCTTCATTCGAATCTCCACAGAACCGCGGACATTGAACCTATCCTCATTCCTGACAACGGTACAGAGCGTTTGTCTACATTTGATGCAAGATATTTATCATCTAACTGTACCAAAACAATTGTTCCGAACTCCCAATTAATTCTTAATACTGAGCCATAACACATAGCGTCTGAATTAATTCTTCTTTTAGATGTGTTACGAATAGTAATGAATGAAGATTACAGTGCACTCCCGACCGCAGCTAAAGAAGCATGCAGTATCGAGAACGAATGTGAAGAGTCAGAGTTGACTCGAAACGTCAGACGGTTGGGATGCATCCGGACCGTCGGAAGCAGACGGCATCGGCAGCTGCAGTCAGCAAGGTTTTGGCGGGAACAGTTTCGTAACTGTACGCGCCGCACGGTTGGGAATGAATTTGAATAATGGAATGTACCCCTTAGAGTACATGGCTAGCTAGGTCGATTCATCTTCCCTGTACTCATATTTATACTTGCTGTATTTGCATGTTTTAATCATCTCAAGCATTTTACATTCACTCTGCTATTGAGGTCAAGGGCCCACCACCACTAGATTAGAAGTGTGCGAACCTTCATGAGGAGATCCTGGTTACGATCAACTTATGATCGCAGCATGGTATGAGAGCGACTCATGAATCTTTCGCACTGCCACTCCCGAAAATTACGACATTCGGAAAGTGGCGTCCGGCACACGCTTGCGTGATGGCCGGAGGATCTGGCGGTCAGACGAATCTGACGGCTGAAGCGCAACCCAATCCGGCTGCGACAAGCGAGGGGACGACGACGATCGGAACCGAAGTCCTCGCACAACTGCTTCAGCGACTCACCAGCTTGGAGCAAGGACTCCAAACATTGCGGAACGGCGACGCGGGAACATCTTCGCAACCTTCTCAACCAGCCCC